GTGTGCCCGGTGTGCCTGCCTCACGCCCCGACGCCTCTAAAGACGCCACCGGCGAGAAGCGCCCGCCAAACGCTGCATAGGCCGCCCACCACACACGGGTGCTGAGCGGGCCTGTGTTGCGCCAGTGCCTCACGGCGCTTGCTCGTACCCGGGCCCCGGCTCACAGGAGTCATCTAGAGTCATCCACCGAGCAGCGACTCCTTGTCTTTAAATAAAATGTACCTACAGGTGACATCGTACTGGACGTGGCTCTTCCACACAAAGAGGGCGAGGATCACGGAAAAACTGCAAGGGGGTGAGACTTACGCCTATAGGTTTATGTTTAAACTGGTGATGGGAAGGTACTATACAAATTAAAGCATCTTCTACGTAGGAGTTCCATGAGTTTATTCGCAGCAATTTTTTTCCAGGCCAGTCGTTGTGCGTGGGCCTCCATTCAACTCAGTGGCGATAGGATTCCTAGTTTATCTCATCCTGCTGACGGTGCTTCAGGTAAATAAGCTTTTACTATCGGTGGCATGATTTTGTTTCTGATTTCACTAGCAATACGCTTTCTCGTCTCAGACCTCGATCCTGAACGTGACGACGAAGCAGGGGCTCCTCGGACTGCTGCGGCCTGCGAGGGCGGTGGCGGAGCGCCGGGCCGCGGATCCTCTTCTGGACACGCTGGACCCCGTGCTCGTGGCCGCCGTCCTCGACTCCGATCAACTCACCCTCGGTGGACCTCGACGCGGCAGAGGGTGGAATGCACCGCGACGAACTGACGGTGCTGTGGCAGCTTCAAATCCTTCAAATTTGGCCAAAACCTTTAAAATGTGACATTTCTTTTGCGTGGTCTAGGACCACACTAACATTACTCGAAGAAAGGGAAATTTTTCAAAGGGATAAACGACTAAACTTCGAATTTTGGGAATGGATGCTGATCTATCGCTATGTCCGAATCGACCGATAATCCATGAAATAGTAAGTTTCGATATCAAAGAAAACAATGATGGGTGAAGCAACCCGCGAGGCATAATGCGGCCTGGTGGGGAGATGAGAAGTCCACATTCATTTATTATTTGGATTTGGAGACAGTCCAGTTTGACGAAGAAGTTCTGAAAAAAGGATAGATAATATTTACTTCTTATTTCTTTTTTTATTGAAAAACAGCTTAGAATACAACTTTTACATTGGATCACACAGACAATATTTACAACACACATGTGTTCTGTGCATACAGCCTACTAAGTAGGCAAAAGGATCCACCCTCAAAATAAAACATCACAGCAGTTCATCAGAGAAAATCCTTTATTTACACTTATGCCCACTAACCTTTTCAATTTCTCATGAGGGGAAGTGGGGAAACATTAGCTCATAATTTGGTTAACTTAGCTGACAACAAACAAGTTGGAATTTCTTTTTTACAGAGACTTTTTAAATGGTTACATTTCATAGAGACTTACAGTAAGGCCTGGAAGATAAGATTGCTTACTAGACAGAATAATTTACACAGCAAAGTAAGCAAATTCTCTGTTTTTGCAGAATGCCAGATAAATAGATATTAAAGAACACAAAGTTCAGAAATAATCATTAAACTGTCTATTATAAACATTACTTTTGAAATGTGTTAAGGAATGGTTTGAATAAATTAAAAAAAGGCGTTCAAAAACATTAAGTTTATAATTTTGGAACACTGGTTTACAATCTGCTATGTACAGATTGCGGAATCAAATTTGCATCCAGAGGATAACAAACGGAACAGCAGAAAAACCAAAGCTCTGAGCATTGCTCATAATTTACATAGTAATTGATTCCTAGAATCCTCTGACCAGGCAACGCCACTTTCTGTTAACAATAAAACTGATTCACAGAGAAATGTACATATAGGGGGAAACAAATTTAAACATAACATAAATTTTAGAGCTTGGAAATGAAATGGCCTGTCAGAGGAAGCAAGGAAAGAATGAAATTTCTGACCAGAGAAAAATGGCAGGCATGGATTTGATACATAAAATGAGAAAAGAAAAGGTGTGATGCTAGGAGGTAACATAGGTGGGAAGACCCCGAATGACTCATTGACACTTAACAGCTTTCTGGCAAAGAGAGGTTACATGAAGGGTAATTAATTTTGTAGAAAGCAGAATCCTTTTCCAATTGGAATTCACATAAAATTGATGTTTAATTCATTTGAACTCAACGAGTTCCTGGTAACGGACATAACACTTCACACAGTGAAGATAGAAATCTCGCCACTTGTGCAAGATGCTCCACATGACTAAAACCAGAAAGCGATTATCTCGTCGCGGAGCTGATTTTAAGGAAAAAATAAAGTAATCTCCATGGTAATGCTTAGAGATTCAACATTTAACAAGACTAAGCAAGCGGTCATTGCCAGAAAGAAGCTTTTTTTCTTTAAAAAAAAAAATAATAACGGGGGAGTGGGGAGGGGGAAGGTACAAAAAAGAGGAATAAAATCTAATTTTAAAATTGCTATCATATAAAAACCAATTTACAATTTCTTCTACATGCTGTAGAAGAACCGATTTATACATACATTTCTTGTTCAAGAATATGAACATAAGTTCTTGGCAATCACCGCCATGATATCACAAGTGGAAGGGGGTCCAAGAAACACTGTGGATAAATTGCTACAAGTGGAAGCCATAGTACCTCTGCAGCAGAAGCTTGAAGCTAAGGTTTTCGTGCTCCAGAGGGAATAAACAAGTTAAATGAAAAACATAAAACTGAAAATTTAACCACTTCGGTGTTTTAACACTTAAATCAGTACATGTCCGTTTGTTCGCATCACTTCATTAAAACATGTCATCACATTCTTCAAGTCCACAGCTTTGCTTCAAGTCCTCCATTGTGCCACACTAGACGGTAACGCCCAGGCTATCTTATGATAGGGAGATCAGGTAATGTCCGACAAGTAAAAACTGCCACTGAACTCTCCCTCAAGAAAGCTTCGGTGGTGTGTGGCTATACAGCCAGTTGTTATCTTCGATCCCGATACATTAGGTAGTGTTTCAAGGCTTGGGGCAACCTTAACTTTTGGACCTTGTCCTCCAAATTTCGTTTGCCAATACGTTGCCGTATTACCCTCCGGCAGAGATCCATTAAAGGTAGGGGTTCAGCTAAAACAAATAATTTTTCAAATTTAGTAACAAATTATAACAAAACAAATTTGATTTTAGATATAAAAGTACTTACGATCAAGTCCTCCTATATACTTCATAGTAATTTCACAATGTCCCCAAACAGCACTAACAATAGGATGCAATTTTTTGCCTTTAAGCCCTCGGAATGCTACTCCAAGGTATTGGCCATCTACCACAAATGAAAGGGTACCCTCATCCATATCAAGAACAACTGCAAAACACAAGAGAAAAACATTATAGATAGAGAAAGTGTTCAGATGTAAAACTGAAACATAATTATAGATAGAGACAGTGTACAGATGTAAAACTGAAACATACACAGGAGAAAGACAGAGGGACTTACCGAGGAATTTGTCAGGAACAATAAAAGTTTCATCAGGTTTCAATAGTGCGGGGTAAGTTACACCCGCATTATTTTTTGAGTCGTGATATAATTTGTTTCGGCCAAGGTCCCAACCCCATGACTGATTGTTGCTACCAACTAGGCTCTGAAACACAAGACGGAGTACAATAAGAATGGTGGACTAAGCAAGTATTTGAAAAACAACAACGGTATTCAATCTAGTTTACCTGATAACCGACGGAGTGGAGAGGTGCCTCGGCCGTCGCTACCCCTACGACTGCATGCGTCCCTCGTTGTCTTGTTGACCAGTGAACTTCCCATACGTGAAGACCTTTGGTGAGTCCAACCTTCCCTCGGATGCAGTCGGTACTTTGCGCGACCGGGTGTCTGTGGAATGTCAGCTTGTCGTCCTCCTGGGGCAAAACGAGACGTCACTTAGACACCATTCCAAGCAAAGAGACGAGTTACTACAGGGGCAGGCCAGGCAAGACGTACAGTACTCACTTTAACAAATATATTGAGCGAGCGGTCGTCTGCGTTCCACGCGTGTGTTATCTGGCATTCTCTTGTTGCGGGAGGCATGTCCAGTAGGATTTCGAGTCGCGCCGGCCTCTGAAAGTCTTGGGCGAGCTCACGTGGAATGACTGGTTTGTACGGCTGCGGGCTCTCCCGGGCTAGCGCCGTCTTCACACTTCCTGCAATGCCAAAAAAAGAAGAGTATGAGTCATGAGAAACGTCGTTAGAGTGCCCAATCCACTCAAGCCAACACGAGACGAGACTCACCTGATACTTTTTGACCCATTGTCATTCCCCTGGCCCCGTGGCCACGGTGACGTCTCAGTTCGAGGTAGGTCGGAGATTTGGTGGGGAGCACCGAGTTCTTGTACGGGTACCTCCGGAGTTCCCGGAAGTGCTCGTACGAGCCCTGACTGCTGGCGGAGGTGGTTGTCGACGTCTGTGTGGTGCTTCCCTGGCTGGCGCTGGCCAGGTACGAGGAGTAGCGCGTCGACCTGGGGACTCGGGAGACCGAATTCTGGGCGGCCGCTGTCACGCTACGCGTTTGCCGACTATTCTTGAATCTGAAACAAGCAAAGAGCAGAGCACGTTAGTCGCGCCGACAGAGATAACGTCATGTGCGGTCGACGAAGGTGTGTGTCCGTGTATAGCATCCGCTGTCAGAAAATTCCGGGCATGAGGTTCAAAGTTACTCAGTTCCACACTGTCTGAAGCTTATCAGGCACCTTGCTGGGAAGGCAAGCCCACACTCATACTGCATACGGCCCCGGTACAAACCAGGTGGCTCATTAACGCCGCGCACTTTCGTAGTTATACTGTACCACATGCACGCGTGCGGGCGGGTTGCCTACTCGCACGGGGCCATAAGGAGCCGAGGGCAGAGAGCATTTTCTTAACTACAGGTGCCTGGAAAAGCACCAGCTCGTATTTTAGCTTACAAGTTGACCCCCTCTTCTATGTCACACGCAAACAGATCCGACCTAAACACGCGAGCTGGCAACACAGCACGTCCCAAGCATCGCAAAGTAAACCTCGCCAAATGAATGACATTTCGACAAGGCAGCTACCAAGCGGGGGGGCGGTTGCTTCATCGAGCCTTTTGGGCCATCTGTTCTAAACGGAACGACAGAGAGGAAGACGTTTAAAAAACGTGACCGAAGTCCACATCGTAAATATGTGCGAACTTAAGTCGCCAAGTTACTGGACACCTCCTGGGTTCCGCGTACTGCACCCGGCAAAGCCGTGGCTCATCCATACGGGTCTGCCACCCAGGATTGAGAATGAGATATGTTCCGTGATCAGTGCAGTGTGGGAAGGTGTCCACGATTTTCGAGCCGTGCAACTCAGTCGCCCAGCTGCTGGGCACCCGATTGACAGTGCAGTCAGACAAGGGAGAGCTTTTGAAAAGCTGGGATGGCGGTCTTTAAACTTCCCGGACGGCGTTCACCATCACTTCCCTCTCTCTCTTCCCCCGAGGGTGGTCGTCGACAGAGCGCACCACCGTCGCGCCGCGCAGCCGAGAGCTTGCCTCGCCCAGCCGACAGATGTCGCTGGAACACGGCACCGCGCCGCCTCGCCTCCAGCCCAACTGGGCGCGGCCCCTCGCGCACCGTTTTGTTCCCACAGTGTATTACACCGCCAGCAACCAACCGCGGTCCGCGACGCGACGCGACGCGGGGGCGCGAGCGAGCGAGGGCGAGCCAGGGTAAAAGTCGCAGATAGATAAAAAGGCGGCCACTGGCCAGACCGACGAGCATGTGTCATATCGAATGGCGCCGCGCCACGCCACGCCCGGCCACAACAGAACCGGTCGCCGACCCCGCCGACCTACTATACACTCCGCCAGCCAAATAACAAAAATAAATTCAACTGAAAGATGCGTCGCGATTTGGGCTCGGCTTGCGCCTCTCCCTCGGGCGGGGGTAAGGACCGAGCCGGACGAGACGCTAGGGCCGAACGGCGACAACGGACGGCGCGAGGACAGCTGCCGAGCGCAGCTGCGCCGTCGCGGCCGTGCCAGGAGGCTGACGGCAGGGGAAACTGGAGGAGAAGGACCCGCTCGTCCTGCACAGTCAGCCAGAGCCTCCAGCTGCAGCCAGCCACTTCCAGACAACAAGCAGGCCAATCGGAAGCCGGCGAGGGGGTGGTGCGGAGTGCGGAGCACAACGTGACAAAACGACATTTCGGAGGCATCGTCTGGCAACAGCGCACACTGCCCCGCCCCCTCCTCCTCCGCGGCCGCCTCCCCCAGATTCGACAAAGCTACCCTCCGCGGGAGGGACACACAAAGGTACCTGCCTTTTGTACAAGTTATCGGCTAGAGCTCGGCCCATGCGCGGCCGCCCGCCTAGTCTAGCCCGGCCTGGCTGGCTGGCTGGGTCGGCTCCCAATTATCGTCGACAAAAACCCGGCTGTAGCAGCGCAGGAGGCCCGACCGGGCCCTTCTCGTCTCGGAAAAGGTTCTCTTATTTCGTCGTCTTTCTCTCCCCCTCCCACAACACCCGCACAGCTGCTGGGCCCGCCCCTGGCCGGGGGGCCTGAACAGACACACGGCCCGGCACGCCAGGTAGACGACCCCAGACCCAGCCCAGCTGTGGGGGGGAAGGAGGACCCCGACGGGTGGGCGGGGGCGGGACGGGCAGGCTGTGAGGGAGGACAAGCAATCTCTCTCTAAAGCCTCTCCAACGTCCCTTCCCTCCCCTCTAACCAACAGTCAAGCTGACTAAGCCATCCCGTGTAGGCGACTCTCGTCCTAAATGTGGACCTATAGCCTTCGCCTGAAGCCAGTGCAGGACCCAGACACCCCTCCTGGAACCTCCGCGCCGCGCCTCCCGGAGGCCCCGGCAGGGACCCCGAACTGCGGGGGAGTAGGGGCCAGGGACAAAGGAGCAGGGCCCGTCGCACAGCGCTCGCGCCAGACAAAGACCTCGGCCCAGCGAGGGAGGGACCTCGGCAAAGCCAGGCCCAAAACTACAGTACCGTGCTAAAGTTGAGTTCGCAACTACACCGGCATGACACACTACACGCCGCCAGGTGCGTTGAGGACGCCATGTAGGGGCGGCCCGGGCGGCCACAAAGGGCGTAACGGACCGCGCGACCCGAGCGGGCAAAAACCCACGCATTTCTCAAGCCAATCGAGCTCAAGGACCCGAGAATCGCACGGCCGATGGCACACACAAAAGAAAGGCGCCGGATTTTCCAGCAGCCCAGCCAAAACGAGGACCCTGAGCAGGGGCACAATAAAGAAGAGGAAAGAACATACATTAAAGTTTGTTTTTTCCCACAGGCACATAGCCAGGACTAGAAAGGGTTCTCATAAACGAATTCAGAGGCAACCGACACGACCCAACCCTATTCATATTTTTTGGGGGGTGTAGGAAACGCAAGCAACCCCTCCTATGTAGATCCCGCCACTAGCGATAACAGCGGCGCTAAGCTAACTAACGCCGCCCGAGATAACGCCTGTTCGGCCTATCAACAGAAAAACCACTTTGCCTGGCAGCAGAGCGGCAGCACAGAGCAGGCGAGAGAAAGAGAGAGAGAGGCCGACACGGAAAACCTCTCTTGTACCTGGAGAGGGGAGGGGGGCAAGAGGACAATGCCGGCACGGCCCCCACCGGCGGCCGCAGCTCAGCACAGCTCCTTGACGGCAAGAAGAAGAAGCCTCTCCCGGCCAGCCCGGCAGGCACCTTGGCAACGTCGCCAGCACACGCCCATTCCTCGCCAAACCACCAGACCAGAGCAAAGCAAGCAAAGGCCCCCGAGGCGAGCTCCAAGAAGCGCACTCGCGGACCCCGACGCCAAATATGGAAGCAAAAAGGGAGCCTGCCGGATAGACACACTCCACTCGGCATGACCCGCGGACCAGCCGTCCAGCGCACAAGAGCGGCACGACCAAGTGACGTTTGCTCGCGACACGACCCACCCTCCCCATCCGAAGCACAAGCCTTGCGACGTAAACCTCTCGCGATGTCAAAAGCGAGCGGCGTTGAAACCCTAACGCAATGCCTTCCCCGAGGCCTTGCAGCAGCTCACTCAGCGGTGCGACTGGAAAAGGGAGGGGGGGCCTCCTCCGGGAAGGAAGGCAGACAAAGCCTCGGGGATGGGTACACTCCGCACAGAGACCTCGCGGGGCCCGGCAGTGAGGCCAAGCCTAAAAGCCAGACCCCCCCCCCCCCTTCCACGTCCTTCCTCCTTTGCTTTTGCCTTTCCTTCAAACTAAAGCGTGCTCCTGCTAAACATGACACCCAGACGAGACTTTCGACACCCACGTGTCCAGAAGGCGGTACAGGTGCGCCCGGCTCCCCGCCAGCCAAGGGCCTCTAGGTGGTCACTGGAGCAGGCACCATAGGAGCGGAGGACAAGAAGAGAAGAACGCCTGGACAGTGCCCGCCCAGCAGGGGCCGGTCACAAGGCTTGCGTGGAGGGGGAGGAGGAGATCGACTGAACGCCAAACTGAAAGACGAGCAGGCCGTTGACGTTGTGCGTGTGCAAAGAAATCGCAGGCCGGTAGGTCAGGTCGCCAATCTCACAATATACAGCTTCAGCCTGAACAGGGCAGGGCCAGGTATAGAGAGCTGCTCAGTGAAAAGACCCAGAGACGCAGTTCGCGAGTTCGTACCGAAGAGGAGGAGCTTTTAGGGTCTCTGCTAGTCTCTCCCCCCC